ATTGCTGCAGCTCTGTTTAGCATTTGAGCGACGACAAACGAATCAACTACTGGATATACACGTTGATTGCTGCAGCTCTGTTTAGCGTTTGAGCAACGACAAACGAATCTACGAAAACTACTGGATAGGACATGGAGAGATGATAGAGATGTTTACAGATGGGAGTGAGTGGCAGAAGATGGTCGAGATAAAAGTGATAACAATAGGCAACTAACAACTACGTCTCAGTGAAGATTCTCAGTCATCCAGGTCAGGGTCAAGGTTGAAGAGTTCTGTTAGGCAACTGGACGTGAAATTTTCTCAAAGGAGACGTTTCACCTCTCATCCAAGAGGCTTCTTCAGTTCTAACTGGTGGTGGGGAGTACAGCAAATACATACTCAAAGAAAAAAACTACTTCAGCTCCCCCTGTTGGGAGGGGCGTTGGGGTCAACTGGGGAAGTGTAAACAGTCGTTAGGATTCTGATGAGTCGTTGTGATCTTCATCAGAACGGTTTCGGTCACTTTGTTGTGTGAAACTGAGAAGAACCTTTTAGGTATTGTTCCTAAGAGAGCCCTGTATGTGGGTGATAGGTTGTGTCTTAACCCACCTCCTCTGTTAAGTCATGGTTTTTCCAGCTTGGCAAAAATGGCTTCTTTTACCCCTGTCTCAAACCATCTGTCTTCCCTGGGCAGGGAAGACAGATGGTTTGAGAGAGATTTCTTCTTTGAGAAAATTTCACAACCAGTTGCCCAACAGAACTCTTCAACCTTAATAACCACGTCTTTGTATACCTGTATATCTGTTTACGGAGTACACAGAATTGCCTCGTACACACGTGCGTGGCGGGTAAAAGACGTCTTTTAATGTCAACCTTTTGTAATATAAATCAACTGTGTTCTGTTTGACTGGGCACAGACAGAAACGACTATATTTAGAAGGTGGGTTCATTCCCCGTGATCAAACAGCGAGCATAACAATTAGGATTTTAAAGGTTAGCCTCTCCGCAGGGAAACGGGCGTGTTGTCTGCAGCACAGCACGCACCGTGCAGCCATTGCTATTTCCACTCTGCTGCAATGCAAGTTTTCTGCATATCAGAGTTTGACACAGTTAGGCTGGAACACAAGCTTGAGGTGGAGGAGTAATCCCCGAGCAAGAAGAAGTGAGGGTGAGATTATAAAGAAGTGATGAAAAAGTGAGTAACCGCTCCTGTAGAAATGGTGCAATGGTGAAGGGCAAACGGGCCAAGACCTCATCACCAGGAAACAAGACAGAGGAGGAATGAGGCCTGCAGTGAAGAAAGAAAAAAAAAAAAAAAAAAAAAAAAAAAAATCAACCATTCCTGATCCAACACTGATTACATTTTGTTTGTCCTCAAAGAACTAAGATATGAGAAAGTATTTATGTCAGAACTGAAGGTCAGTGGCAAACTCCACCTGCATCCAATGCAATTAGTGTCTGTTGCAGAAAAGGCAACCCCAGAGAAACGGCAGTGGCGGCGGTGCGCTGGAGAAAAGCTAATTTGCCACCTCGTATCTCATGTGTGGAAACAAGACCTGAGGTAGAATCTCTCTTTTGTTCTCCACCAGGCACGAGGCCCAATATTCCCACGTGGCACCACATATCCTGCTGTAAATATCGCAAGCGGAACCTGCTCAGATGGCAGGAGCTATGGCTCCCTCAGTGCATTCTCCTCTGATTCACACTAACACCGTATTGACACGGGCAAATAAAACGGGACAATTAATGTCCACGCTGTTGTTAAACAGACGGCGATCGGCCAATGATGTCGTCAACGTCACCGTCGGCCATGTATTTACAGAAGCTAATGTTTTCAATGTGCAGTAAAACCGCAGATGCATCATGTGCTGTAATCCCTCCACGATAATCTGGCATAGGACACGGGTTCTCAACCTCTGGCCCCAAAATAACAATTTTTATTGTTTTTACCACAACATAAAAATCACCAATACTGACTTCAAACATTTCAGTGAAAACAATCATGAAATGTATGACTTCTTGAAGTACTGTAGTTGTACTACAGGGTTATAAAGAAATACAGTGAAACTATGTTGTTTCGTTTGAAATAGTGCAGGTCTTCAAACAACCCTGTTTACAACAAATACTGGTTTGCTTCCCAACCTACCAAACTATCATGCAGAAATATTTAATATCATAACATTAATTTAAAAATATATAGCAAAATGTATTAATTCTTTTTTAAATATAAAATACTCAACATATATTACAGGATACTCAACATTTCTGGCATGTTCTTTTGGAGGAAAAAAAAAGGCATTTCCATTCCTCTTCCACTAGTTGTCAGCATGTAAGATGATTAATTAGAATCCACTGTGGTGGCTAATTAACACTCAATTAGCCACCACATTCACCTCCAACACCTGACCACTGTAGTGAGGGTCAAATAACAGTATCTGTGCAGAAGACAAGACAACAACCAACAAAGAGGGGAAAAAAAAAAAGGAAGGATTTTTTTTCTTGCTTTTTCAAAGATCCAATCGAGTGCCATACTGATCTAAATGCCATTTAGAATGAAATTGATTTACATAGGAAGGATCTCCAGCCTCGGGGCCTCCTCAACCTGGTCTCCTGATCCAGATCCCATGGCTTCATCAATAGCAGCTAAAGGCCAGGCTGATGTTTATAGGGAAGGTAATGAGGTTAGTTTCGGACCATGCTAAGTAGCAGCCTGTCTGAATCAATCCAGTCACTGTGACCTACCCGACAGGGTTGCCTGCCTCATTTAGTGACTGAACAGAGTACATGCAGTGTACAAGTATGTTTTTGTTTTTTGTTCCTCACCGTTTCAGTAAAATGCAGCACAGGTAGTAGACTTCTTCAGTCACAAAACAAAAACTTTTAAATCTCCAGCTGCAGGCATGCTGTGGACGCTGGCCATCTATAGGGTAACAACAAGATGCCACAAGAACCACACAAAAAAAAACCCAGGCACTAAGAGCTGGACTCTAATCTTGTCAGGCAGCGTTCTATACTGTAAATATGTCCCACTTGGTGGGAGACAGTGTAAAAGGCAGCAAGCAGCTGGTGCTTAGCAGGAGCCTGCTGGCCCAGGCCCACAGTTGTCCCGGCTCAATGATGAAGACAGATGGGTTGGGCCACAGCCCCAGTGCAGGAAACGCACCCCCGGGCTGGTAGATTAGAGTCGAGCTTCCGATGGAGCCCCGATAGCACTCTGAGGATGGGAGTGGAGAGCGAGCAGAGATGCTAATGTTTGGTACAAAGGCTGCTCTTTCCATGAACTTCTGAAACATGAGGCGATATAGAATATAGGGTCGACTGAATGTCAATGGCTGAGCGAGACAACGCTCTGAGGAATTGCGAGTGGCTCAAGTCTCCAGATCGCCTTCGGTACATCATCTGAGCTGAGCGCAGGTGAGTAAACTGCGTTCCCATTTGTTCAGCTAAAGGTAAGTGCAGGGAAATCATTAAGGCTTTACCTAATGACCCATCAATGACAAGTGTAGCCTCAAGAGCAAAGTGACCTCCAGGAAATCCATGATGATAGCCACGGTGCATTTCGATACTGAACCACGTGTTTGCTCAAGGGTTATGGCAGAGACATATGGATAGCTGCCGTGTGTTCACTAATGCAATAGAGGAAAGCTGACTTCGGGCTTTTAAACTGTAAACAAAGTGCGCGCACAAACTGAACAAAGAACAAAACGCATTTATCAGGAACAGGGCAGAGTTCCAGACCATTTTTGCTGAGACAAAGTGATGGTGAAAGCCTAAGCTAGAGAGCACCGGTGGTCCGGGGGGTTGGACCATTGATCATGAAGCCCTGTAAGGCCTGTTACAGTTGTCTTTGGTGCGTCTCTGATGGACTTAGTGTGATAATTAAGACTGCAGCACACTAACAGATGGCTGCAGACTCACACTGGGAGGAGTGGGGATCAAAGTTCCTGCTGTGCATGTTAGAGTGTACACAGACCTAAAGAATATATTTCTGCTGAAGCTGTCTTTAAAAAAAATTTACAGATTCCATTATTGCATCAGTTATCGATTTGATTCCTGATCAATAGTCCTGTCAATGCTCACTGGGTTAATAAAAAAAAAAACAACAAAAAAAACAGGTTTGGTTGTATTGACTTATGTAAAGTATGAATTACATCTGCAAATATAATTCTGACAATATTAAAACTGGATGAAAGAAATGCCCTTGAAGGAAAAATAAATAAATTAACATAAATTAAACCTGCAATTATCAACTCTCCTCGAAACTAAAAAATTGGTATCTGTAATAATTTCAGTTCATGTCGTATTTTAGATACAGATCATTTACTACTTTAAACGATAAACTACCGTCTTATATCTATAATTATTTTTTTTATCAACAAAAATCCTAAATAAGTTTTAATAAATATTTACTAGGTATTGTACGACATGGTCTTGTTGTACAATTTGAAGTTTGAACATGTCAAAAGAAATCTTGTAAACTTGTTTGTGTAAACTTTTCCCTCTCAGGTTTATTCTGAACGATACGATTTCAATGGGAGGAGGAGTTTCTCAGAGCTCAGTGGAGAAAACAGTCGGCACGATTCGAGCCGCGTACAATTTGATCAGACAAATTCCAAAATCGATAGAAATGTATTGCCAGCGACTGCCCTCCCCCATCCCTCCTCCCTCCCCTCCGTGCTTCACGAACAGAACAAAAGAACAATTCACTGCTGT